CCAGCGAACAATGCTGGAGCTGTTGAACCAATTGGACATGGCTTTGATGTCGGCGCCGCTCAGGTCGTCCTTCGCCGCAATCAGTTCATCGAAGTTGACGTCTGCGGCCAAAGACATGCGTTTGGTGTGAATGCCGAATATGCGCCGCTTTGTCGGCTCGTCCGGCAGCGGGAACTCGATCTTACGGTCTATACGTCCGGGCCGTATGAGCGCCGGGTCGAGCGAATCGATCCGATTGGTCGCCATAATCACCTTCACGTCGCCGCGCGAGTCAAAGCCGTCCAATTGGTTCAACAGCTCCAGCATTGTTCGCTGGATCTCACGCTCGCCGCCAGAGTTCGAGTCGTATCTGACGGTCAGATAATCAGACAATTAGTGGTAAATTCAATAGTCATTCAATCAATTCAATCGCATGTGTGGACTGACCTCTTGGTGCCGACGGCGTCGATCTCGTCGATGAACACAATGGTGGGCGCGTACTCTTCGGCCACGCGGAACAGCTGCCGCACCAGTTTGGGTCCTTCGCCCAAATACTTCTGGATCAGCTCAGAGCCCACCACACGCAAGAACGTGGCCGACGTCTGATTGGCCACCGCTTTGGCCAACAGTGTCTTCCCAGTGCCGGGCGGGCCGTACAGTATGATCCCCTTCGGGGGGCGAATACCCATCTCTTCGTAGTACTCGGGATGCGTTAGCGGCAACTCTACCGACTCTTTGATCTCTTGGATCTGTTGGTCGAGACCGCCGACGTCGGCGTACGTCTCTTTGGGCGCTTTGTCCAGTTTCATCACATTCACCATCGGATCCACGTCGTCGTCCATCACTCCCACCACGTGATGCTGGCGGTGGTGCAGAAGTACCGTCGAGTTGGGCTCCAACTGGTCCTTATCCACGAACGACATGATCGACACATAGTAAGGGGCGCCGTGAATGGTGGACACAATCACGTGGTTATCATCGATGATCTCATCCAGATTCCCGACGTCCAGCGGCGAGCCTTAAACGCATAGACAATAGCAGTGGTCATCAAAAACGGTTAAGACATCAAAACAACGGTTAAGACATCAAAAACAACGGTTAAGACATCAAAAACAACGGTTAAGACATCACTCGAATCGGATCCATACCTCTGATGAGCTCAACTTTGCTGCGCTCGTCGTCCATGTCTTCGTCGGCTGTGGCGGCGGCGGCGGCCGTCTTGCGAGCCTTGGCCTCGATCTCCACATTACAC